GCTTCATTAGGGGGAAGGGGGGGGGGGGGGGGGGGGGGGGGGGGAAGGCACCAAAATGAATAAATTACAGGCCGATTGGCCATCAACAATGTCTAATCATATCCTTCCAGTGATGTTCATCGACAAAAAAGTATGTGACAGAACAGCACCAAATCGGCAAAAACGCTAAATTACCCACAATGTACCGTTGTCAAATGTAACCTTATCGAGAAAGGTACATATTATCGAGAAATGTCCAAATCATCAACGATGCATCATGATCGACCTGCAACTTAACTTATAATTGCCACCGACGAAGTACAGAGTCTACGGATGATACTGCCCGGTAAACCGTTGACAGAGAGAGAGAGAGAAGAGGACAACAAACGAGGGCTGTGACACACTCTTTCGTCGTAGTTTCACCGACTCATCCGGGGGCTGAACCCTGACAACATATGTATATCTGTTTGACGATATATATGCATATACTATATTGTCACAAAGTTATCAGAGCGCAAAGCGAAAAGAGAAGAAAAAGAGAAACACGAAAATAAATTTTCGTTTTTTTTAATCTTCTTCCTTACAACTCGCCCTGTTCAGAAAGAACCTCTTTTGCGTACAAGGCCGCCCACGTGGATGTAGGTTGAGCGGCGGCTGCCCCCACCCCCGTGTGTCGTCATATCGACCCACTTGCACACAGCCAAAAGGCAAAGACGCAAAGAAAAGCGGAAGGAAACAGCCGAACACAACAGAACAGGGGGAAAGAAATCCTACATGACAAGTCCCACATGCAAGCACCGCCCCCACGTCATGCATATATATCGTCACATGACTATCAGAGCGCAATATATCGTCACAAACAGCCACAGCGCATCTTACCGGCGAAGTATAATTATCCACGATGGATCATTTTGTCCACAATGTATCATCACCGACAATTTATCATTTCATTATTATCCATAATAATAATAATGTATCAATCAATATCGACGATGTATCATTTTGTCCACAATGTATCATCACCGACAATATCGACATTATTATCCACAATGATAGATCTACATTGTCATGTCATGATACATCGACCGCTGTGTGTGCATTGTCATGTCATGATACATCGACCGCTGTGTGTGCATCATCACCTACCAAGCACGATAGATAAGCTCGAAAAGAAAAAACAAACAAGGAGGTGAATCTTCACAAAAATTCCAAGCGATTAAAAAGTCCATCTATTTTTATTTTTTTTATGGTGAACCGCCTGTTGAAAACGTAGCAAAACAAACGTACACTTGTTTAGACAAACAAAAACGTTTGTTATCATTAATGGAGAAAAGACTGGATAAACAGATAGATAGATAGATAGACAGATAGGCAGATAGGCAGATAGAGAGAGACAGACAGACAGACAGAAAGAAAGGTGGACTTGAAAGGAAGGGGGGGGGGAGAGGAGGGAAGCAAGGAGGTGGAAAAAAGGGACTGATATAGAAGGACGACCGACGATGAGAAGCGTATCTTTCCTTCCCTCTGTCACTGCCTTCTTCACTTCTACCTTACCTTCTGTCACAACCCCTTTACAAATTAATAAAAAAGAGATTAAACTAAATGCACATGACATCCCCCAGCCGGAACTCTTTCATGTACACATTGTTGATTCAAGAATATTCCGCTTTCCATCTATACGTCTCAGAAAAACAGGTCACAGTCAGACGTAAGGGTGAAAATACACACAAAGTATCGACGGAGAGCGGGGGCCGCCGGAGGGGGGAAGGGGGGGGGAAGAGGGGGGCGGGAAGGAAGGGGAAAGGAGAGATGAGGAGGGTAAGGGGTGTCGAGTCTTGATATCACGAGTGTATCAAAGATTTTTTTTCTTTTTTTCTTTTTCAGATTCGTCGATAAAACAGTATGGGGGTGTAAAATCCGGGGCTACAGAGCGACGGAGAGCTTCCGCGCACCCGGGGCTACAGAGCGACGGAGAGCTTCCGCGCCGCGCCCCATAATCCACCAAATCGCCACATGTGGAAAACGGGGAATGCAACATCTTCTTCAATTCAATTCAATTCAATTCAATTCTTTTTCTTCTTCTTATTATTATTATTCTTTCATATCTAACGCATACATTCAGTACCTCACCTTTTTCCAGAGTTCATGAAAATGAAGGAAACAGCGAAAAACATCAAATCAATGTCGGGGGGCAGCCGCCTCCTCAAAAGCCGCCCGCCCCTAACAACAAGCAATGGCCACCACGTCGGCGGCTGGTCGGTCATCCAAGTCATTGAGAAAACCATCGTAGCCAATCGAAAAAGTGCGCGTGGGCGTGGGTAGGGTCAGCATTTCCTCGCGTCCCCCCACCTTCTAGGGTCAGCATTGTGGGGAAGGAAAGGGGACAGGAGGGCAAAGGGAAGGAAAGGCTGGGAGTTGGGCGGAGGGGACGGGGAAGGGGTCGTTAGGAATGAGAGAGAAGTGTAATAATACATTAGCACTTACTGCCAGATCGGGATCGACTTTGGCGCCAGGCGCTCCGCCGCCAGCTGCTCCGCCTCCAACGCCGCCGCCGCCGCCGCCACCACCACCTCCGCTGCCAGTCTCCCCAGGTGCTCCTCCCACTACCTTTTTCTTCTTCTTCCCCGCTTTCCCCATCCCTACAGGGAAACAGGTCAATAAACAAGGGGAAGAAATTTGAGTTCGGGGGGGGGGGGGGGGAAGATACGAAAGGTGACAAGAAAGCGACAAAAAACGGACAACGAGAAGATCACAGCCGAGGCACAGTTTTTCAGAGGGGGATTGTTTTGGGAATTGTTTATTTTCTGTTTAACGGATTTTTATATCTTGAATCCCATCCACAGGGAGGGAGGGAGAGAGGGAGGGGAGAAAAGAGGGGTTAATTACGTAATCTAGTTATGAATTAGGTCCGAAACAGAGAAATATGCGAAATGTTTTGTGCAATCAGCGACAGAGACTCCCGTTCAATCACAACACCTCCTTCTCCCACCACTCATGAATTCTTCCTTAATTTTCTTTAGTTATTCATTACCACAGCAGAGATAAGAGGAGAGAGCAGAAATAGCCTCGACCAAAATTCGACAGCATATCCATTGCCTGCCCCTCTCAGAATATGCATCTCATCGTACACATTGCGGTTATGATACAGATTGCGCACCTGACTGCAAATCTTCTCCCCGTCCCATGTGTTTGGCCAGGGGGCAGACAGAATATGAATTGAAATTTTCTCCGAGGTAATATTCAGCTTTTATTTTAAAAATAAAATAAAATACAACAAAAAATGAAACTCTCTATTATTGACAAGAATCACTGGAAGTTTTCACAATTGGACGTGCGCATCATGAGGGCCCCTCATTTCCCCATTATTATTATATACTATTATGATGCGCCCCTCATTTCCCCATTATTATTATACTAGTATTACTTATATTACTTATTATATTTGAATAGGCACCCCCGAGGCTTTACGAGTAAATATAAAAATGAGCAACACCCGAGTTTCTTTTTTTTTTTTTTTTTTTTTTTTTTTTTTTGCCTGTTAGATTGACAGAGCTTGCGCATCCTTTCTCAGATCGTGATCACTGTTTTGCGTGAGCTTGCGCATCCTTTCCTTGAAACGAAAATCCTTTTTTTTGTGCAAACGGCACTGTTGGGAAGGAGAGACCCATCCAATTTTTTTTTTAATTCGGGAAGGCGGGTTTGGATTTTTTTTTTTTTTTTTTTTTTAAAGAGGAACGTTTCTTATTTATTTAAAAGAGTAATTTAAAAGAGTAAAGGCGGGTTTGGATCTTTGGATGATGGGTGGTCTCTCCTTCCCAAATTTTTTTACAGTAAAATTTCGAACTACAAAAATAGGGAACCCTTTCATGCAGACCTCGACCATTTCCCTGTCGACCATTTTTTCTTCAACGACACAACCTCTCAGTACCGGAGCTCATCCGTAATGAAATGAAATGAAATGAAATCCACCACAATCCATTTCCTTGTCCACCATTTTCCTTCCACGACAGAACCTATCTTTTTTTGACAAGCCAAAAATTGCATTTCATTTCCCCGGAGCCTAAGATCTACAGTGCCTCCCTGAGGGAAAAAAATTGTGTTCCCCTTCCCCGTCCCTCTCCCCCCCCCCCTCGCCCCCACCAAAACCACTGGGCAGTGTAGATTTTGGCCCGCTACTTATTTATAGACAAGAAAAAGGACAGTGCAGGGGGCCGTTGGAGTGGTGGTTTATTTCAATTTAGTCAGCGCGGTGAAGAGAGAGAGACAGAGAGAGAGAGAGAGATGGGGGGAGAGAGAGAGAGAGAGATGGGGAGAGAGAGAGAGAGAGATACCCGTCTTTCTCTTCTGTTTCTTCCTTGCCAGTAATGCTTTTTACAGGACCCAAAAATTACTGTAAGACAACATCACCGGAGAGCGCGCTCCAATCCGATCCTCCGGTGAATGGGACACGGACGCCCCGAATGTTTAGCGGGAGGTGTCCGGCCGACGTTTTTTCAAAACCTAATCCATAGTATCTGCTGCTGCTATTTTGCGGAAAAAGGATAATACTCACTATCAGTGAGCTAATACGTAATTAAGAACAACGGGTTTTACTTAACCACCAGAAGAAGAAGAAGCATTACCCATCCGATCAAAAGACGGAAGGCTGATCCCAGCCGCTTTCGCCAGGAAGGAACGAACGGGGATTAGCTTGTCCTGGGCAATCAATGGATAAGCTTTTGCCTTGAATTAGGATTTTACAGTATTTTATATACACATAACGTAAGAAATCATTTTGGCGCGGGGGAGCAGGTCAAAATTACGGACTGCGGAAGTTTGCTTCATTAGGGGGAAGGGGGGGGGGGGGGGGGGGAGGGAATGGGATATAGTAATACGTAAAACCAATTAACGAAGCGCGGAGGGATGAGAGATCATTCACGGGCGGAAGTCTGTGCCCTGTGCCTCTTTAGGAAAAAGGGAATAATTACGTAAAACAACAATCGACGAAGCGCCGGGGGTGAAATACATGACTGACGGACGGACGGGCGGAAGTTTGCTTAATAAAATAAGGGGAAAAAACGGGAGGATGTAAAATAATCAATTAAGCCCGGAGCGTTAGATACAGTAAATTACGGACGGAACTTTGCTGAATCAGGAAAACAGACGCGCGGATGAGCTTAATTAGCAAAATTCATAAGGAGCTAATCAAGGTGAAGTAGCTTCCTTTAGAGGAAAGAAGAAGAGGAAAGAAGAAGAGGAAGAAGAGTTCCGGGCCACCAAATGTAGTCCGTTCCTAAATTGGCATGCACTTGGACGTCTTCCTGACCCCGTTCGTCGTATTAACTGCGCCTGACGAGTTCACATGCACTTAGAGACGTTTTCTGGACCCCGTTCATCGTCATTGAGCACGACGAGACAACGGACTTCCAGCACAGAAAAGCTGAAGCGCGCTAATACTACCAGTGAGGTGCGACGCTCGTTGTTCTTCCATGCTCAGTTAGCTACAGTAGCTTGGAATCGGGTCAAGACAAGAAGACGTGGCGGCGCATGCTAGCCAACTTGGGAAACAGCTGAAGCTGTCCCTCAGCATGTCACCCATTACTACTCTTCTTTTTTTGGAATAGCTGGCTAAGTTGGCATGCACCTAGACGTCTTCCTCGCCAAGTGCGAAAGAACTGTGCTACGGTAGGTCAGCCGACAGCGTGGCGTCCAGTCTGCTGCCGTGTAATGCTTACTGAACACGAACCGGTCAGACAAAAGGCGTCCAGATGCTTGCCAACTTACTGTAGTAACCAGTTGTACCCTTCCGTATCACCAATTACACGGTTTTAACTTTTATCCCCCATTACCTCTATTTCCATTACTTTTGGTTCTTTTTCACAATCTACCGTCAAGAGCTCTTGACCAGAACTTGCTTGCCGCCCTTACAACAGCCCTGGCCAGCTCGACTGCGAGCAGATCCAGGATCAGGTCCACGACCAAGACCAGGACCAGGACCAAGACCCCCGATCGAGACCACGACACAGAG